TGTTCCCCCAGCAGCTGCCCCCCAGGGTGTGGATGAGATATGGGGAGCACCGAGGAACAGTAGGGGAGCCCCCTCAGTGCCCCCCAGCACCGAGCCCTGAGCTGCAGCCCCACAGGATGGCGGGTGAGCTATGGAGCACTGAGCAGAAGGAGGGGAGCCCCCTCGGTGCCCCCAGCACTGAGCCCCTGATTGCACCAGAGGGGCTGCAGCCCCACAGCTGCCCCAAAACCTGCAGCTGCTGCCTGCCTGCCGCCCTACAGCTCCCTCAGGGCACGGATGAGGTACAGAGCGCTGGGCAGAAGGGAGCCCCCCCCAGTGCCCCCCTGCACTGAGCCCCTGAACGCAACAGAAGGGGGGCTGCAGCCCCGCAGCTGCCCTCAGCTGCCGCCTGCCTGCAGCCCCACAGCTGCCCCACAGGACACGGATGAGGAGGAGGGGAGCCCCCCCAGTGCCCCACCACTGAGTCTGAGTGCATGGGAGGAACTGCAGCCCCCGCCCCAGCCCACAGCTGCTGCCTGCCTGCAGCCCCACAGCTGCCCCACGGGCCGTGGATGAGGTACAGGGAGCGCCGGGAACGAGGGCGGCCCCCCCAGCACCGAGCCCTGAGCTGCAGCCCCACACCTGCCGCCAGCCCCACAGCTGCCATTCGGGGCACGGCTGAGGTACGGGGAGCTGCGAGGAGAGCGAGGGGAGCCGCTCGGCACCCCCGGCACCGAGCGCAGGGGGGGAACCGCAGCCCCACAGCCCCACAGCCGCCATCTGCGACACGGAGGAGATGCGGGCAGCCCCCCATCCGCCCCCCATCCCGCGGCCCCTCGGCCGTCCCGGAGCCCCGCACCCCACGCGCTGTCGGCTGCCGGCGGGGCTCCGGCCGCGGGGTCACGCGAGGTCTCGGAGCCCCGGGGCTTCGTGCGGCGGCGGCCGAGGCGGGGCCGGGCGGCAGCGCGCAGTGCGCAGGCGGCTGCCGGCCGTGTCCTCAGATGAGCCCGCGCGCCCGCGGGGAGCCGCAGCCTGAATGCGGCCGCGCTGCAGCGCATGCGTCACCGAGCGCGCGCACGTGCCCGCAGCCCCTCGCGATTCTGCTTCCCCCCTCCTTCCTTCCATCCCCCCTTCTTTCCCTTCCTTCTCTCCCTTCCCTTTTCTCCCTTCTCTCCTTCTCTCCCCCCGGCCCGCCGCCCCCGCCCTGGAGGCCCCGCAGGGCTGCGCCGCCCCCCGGTGCCGCTCCCCGCCCGCATCGCTGAGCCCCGACCCCCCAAACCCCCCATAACAGAGCGAGGCCAGGCGACCGTCTGGGTTGTTTTTTTTTTGTGTTTTTTTTTTCATTCACTTTTCCGCATACTTTTTTTTTTTTTATTTGTTACAAACATACAATTCTTTAAATATAGACTGTAAAACTCCATTTGCAAAAATCTGCTACGGTAAGGAGTGCTCGCTAGCATGAGGAGTTCGTCACGTCGGGCGTCATCTTTCGCTAGTGGTAAATCCAGCCCTGCCTTCGGCAAACTCCGGCTTTCCCCGGCGCTCCCGAAGCCGCCCCGCCGGCCGCAGAGGAAGGGAATGAGAATCGGCCCCGCCGCCGTGGGAGAGGAGCCGGGAGCCCCGGCAGCCCCCGCTGGGCCGCGTAAAGTGCACGGTTTGCTTTTAGTTTTTTTTCTTTCTTTCGTTACAAAAATAAGAGGAATAAAACTTTTTTTTTTTCTTTTTTTTTCTTTTTTTTTTTTTTTCTTCTCCTTTCGTCAAGGTTCTCGGGGGGGAGGTGGGGGTGGGAGCGGCGAGTCGCTCTCTCAGCAGATATCGCGCACCGCGCCCGGCTCTCCTCGCTCGCTGTTCCGCCGTCCCGGCTCCTCCTCCGCCCTCCGCCCGTCTCGTCGGCCTCCAGCCGCGCCCGTCGCCTCCTCGCACGACGGGCCGAGCGCCTTCCCACGCGGCGGGCCCGGAGCCGGCAGCAGCCCGGTGCCGCAGCCCCGGGGGGACGCGCGGCCGTCCCCAAAACCTCCCGGCACGGAGCCGCCGTTCCGGCGGCCACCTCCTCCATCCGTGGCAAATATCTGCTGAGAGACGGCCGCCGCGCCGCCCCACGTACCGTCACCATTCGCTTCACGGTGCTTTTTCTTTTCTTTCTTTCTTTCTTTTAACTTCTTTTTTATTTTTTTCTATTTTTTTGTTTTTATCTTCTATTTTAAAAGAGAAGCCGGCGAGGCGAGGAGAAGCCGCCCCTCGGTGCGGAGCGGAGCAGCCGGGGGAGCAGAGCGCCTGGGGGCGGCGCTGCACCGCTACGATGGGAGCTGCGTGCGATGGGAGCTGCGTGCGAGGGCAGCTCCGTATGGGGGCAGCTCCGTATGGGGGCAGCTCCGTCTGAAGGACGCTCTGCGGCCGGTCCTGCGCCGTCACCCCGCGGCGGCCGGGAGACGCGGGGCCGAAACGCAGCGTTTTCCGTTTTCTCTTGGGAGGGAGCGGGGAAATCGAAGCGGTTTTGATGTCGACGGAGCCGTGGATTTGATTCTCGGGCTGATCCACGCGGGCGGGCGGCCCGGCCGTCTGGGCTCTTTATTTACACGGAGTTTTGGGGCGCTATACAAGATTTACATTTCCGTTTGTACAGCAGATGCTTTGATAGAGTCGCGCTCTCCAAACGTCCCTTCTGGGGGGCGACAGAAATCTGGAAGCTCCACAAACCCGGCGTTCCCCTTCCGGCTAAAAGCCTTTCGCCCGTCTCCTACAGAATCCAAGCCATCGAAAAAAGAAACCAAAAACCAAAAACCAAAAACCAACCAAGCGAAACAACCACCTCATATCTATACACACATGCGGGGCCGTGTGTGCAGACACAGAAGGAACGGCCGAACCGCCGCCGCGCGGAGCCCGGCTCTGCCTGCAGCGCTGGGCCGGCTGCCATCGGCACGGGGCGCTGAGGCACCGGGGTGCAGCCGGGCCTTCGCTCGGCTCTGCTGCCGCAGCCGGGCGCCGCTTCTCTCCTTGCTGCTGCGATTCCTTCCCCCGACGCGCTCTGCTCTCCTCACCGCGTGCCGGAAGCTTGGATGGAGCCGCAGGTTTCCGCACGCAGACGCGGCTCTCGGATCCCGGTGGCTGGAGCCGCCCGTGGCGCCGGGTGGGAGATGTGGGGCTGATGTGGGGCCGATGCGGGGCCGATGCGGGGCCTTTTGCTGTGGGTTTTGTTGTGGTTTTATTTTTTGGCCTGTGATGTGTTGCCTCGTCCCTTTTCCACGCGGTTCCCACACGGCGCCGCGGAGGTGAGGAAGGCCAGGCGATCTCAGCCAAAAACAACAACAAAAAAAGGAGAAAAAAACCAAGAAGAATATATATATATTTTATATATATATATATATATATATAACCCTCTGCAAAAGGAGAGGGACCGCCCGAGCGGAGCAAGGACCCGCGTGGCTCCCAGCAACAGAAAGTCCGTCAGCACCGAAGCGAGGGGCCGCGGCGCTGCTCACCCAGCGGTACAGCAGGACATCACCGACAGCTGCCTTACGGGACGAGTTACAGTACAGAACGGCGCCGCGCCGACACGCGGGGGCTGCTGCTCCCACAGGGCCTGGAAACGGAGTCCTGGTGTGATGGAGGAGAGTTAAAAACAGCCAGG